GGCCACAGTATGACATTGATGTCACCATTGATGCCAGTGTCACTGTACACAGATTCAGGACAGTCAGTGGTGAAGGACAGCATGGCTTTCTTGTCCTGTGCAGAGGAAGGAGTGAGCAAAGAGGGAGAGGACACAGCCTGAACACAGACACGTTGGTGGAGCTCTCACCTTGAAGATCCCCTCACTGTACCACTTCTCCTGTGCGTAGGCAAAGCCCAACACCCGATCCATCCACCCCTTCATGATTGCAGGAACAGATGACCAGTACATGGGGAACTGGGAACACAGGTTTAATGGTCATTTTGATGAGGACACCTGATCACAAAGACATTCCCAGTCAAACACTACCTGAAAGATGACAAGGTCTGCCTCCTTGAGCTTCTCCTGCTCTTTTTTGAGGTCTTCTGCAAGTCTGCCCTCCTCTGATGCCAGTTTGATCTCCTTTGCGTAGCAGAAGTTCTCAGCATCCTTCAATCCACCTGTGACAAAAATCTAGTGTTTGTATCTGATGAACAGAGCAAAGATGTTTTAATACCTGTAGGATACTGGTATACCAGTGATGTCCTCAGTTGTAGCAGCAGCTTTGAACTTCATGGCGTACAGGTCAGACACCTCTACAGTGCAGCCTTGAGCAGTCAGAGCAGCCACAGCAGCATCTTTGGCAGCAGCATTGAAAGAGGCAGGGCTCTCATGGGCATACACAATCAGCACTTTCTTGACTGCAAAGTCAAAGAGAACAGATAACACAAAGTGCCCATTAGAGCAGAACCAGTTCATCAAAGCACTGAAAATAAAAACAACCATCAAAAATACTTACACATTCTGACACAAGTGCTCCGCGGTGACTGCTGATGCTCACAAGTCACTAGTACTCCAATGGGGGGGGGGGAAACTGCTACTGGTGTAAAGCTCAGTATCCAAGATTTATACACCCAATGGGCTCTGCTTCAACCAGGTGCAGTCAATCAGCAATCAGAGTCATCACTCTGCCAGCTGGAAGTGGGGGATTTTCTCTAAGGCCTCTCATCTTCAGATCTTTTTGCCTTTTAACTGCATGGACACCAAGCATGCGTCACTCCTACAAGATGATTAAAATTAGTTTTTCAATGTCTGTCATTTAAAAGACATGAAAATGAATCATCTTTCAGAGAAACTGATGTCGTCACCATGACATGAATGTTATCTAAGGGTTAATTAATTCTATTGGATGTTGAAACGAGGAGCTAAGCAATTAAACAGGGGAATGATCTTCATTAATCTATATACTTATGCAAAATTAGCGCCAAGATAAAAGTTTGTAGCTATTACAGATATTATGAAAGCAGCCGTGAAATATTATTACTAAATCCTTCATGCCTGTAGCTGGAAAAGCAAATTATAACATGTCAAGTTCAATCTGCTACAGATCGCATAGAAAACATCGGTTGAGAAAGCATCAAAACAATCGCAACAGTTAACTGTGGTCATTCTTCTCTAGCTGCAGGCTGTGGGGGGAGCATAAGCTGCAGGTTAAAAACCTTTTTAAACAGAACAACGGGGGTGCAACAAAGCGTGCACATGTACACACAGTGAAGTCACTCAAAGAAAGCTGCGTGCTCCCACTAACATGATTTATATTCTGAAAACACTCCTCATTCTTCACCTCTGTGTCAAATTGCCATATTTTGTGGGGGTATATTATGGCAACCTCACGCAGGCCACAGTGCGTATGAGGCCCCATCTATCATATACAACCCACCCTCTCGAGAACAACACAAACAGACACACAGAGGCAGAGAGATGGAGTAGGCGGCTGGTAGACAAGGCAGAATGTGAGTGTATAACACCACCAAATGACTCTCTCTGACAATGGACACCATTATCTAGCACTGCGTTGTTTTTCTCTTTTATTGGTCTCAGCATATTCATAATTCAATACATGACATACAGGAAACACTAACATAAACATTCTGACTGAAAGAAGAAATCAAGTGACCCATCGGTCAGCTGAGGCTCTCACCTCAAAGACATGCGGCGGCAATGCCAGTTCTAAAACTCAGAATAAACACACCCGGATGCGCTGGCAGGCAGCTTTTTGAGGCAATTTGGCGGTACAGCAGGGGGAGAGAGGTTTGAAATCAGTAAAAATGCAAGCGTCAGCTTTAAAGAACAAAAAGCAGAGGATGTTAGCTCATAGCAAACAGCTGCTGGCAAAGCCGCATGTATTTTTATGCCTCAAAAAGTTGCCGGGACATCACAGCCTTGAGGGAAATGTGACGGATCCATGCCCTTTTCTGCTGCAAAGGAAGTGCTTTAGTACCCATGTTTGGGATAGGTAGGTAGAACTGGCCATAGAAAGAAGATGAGTTCAATTTACAGTGATGTAATGACATATACAATATATTATACAGCGGTTTATGTGGGAGGTTTATGTTGTTTGATGTAAGCTGGCCCTTAATTTCTCTGCCTCATTATACTTCAAGCAGATTCATCATGAGTAACATAATTTCTTAGGTAGAATTATACACGTTTTGTTGTTTTTATTGTTGTTTTTAAGAGGGCCTGTTATGCATTTTCTTATGTTATGACATATATATATATATAGAGAGAGAGAGAGAAATTACAAGTTTCATGACCATATTAAAGAGGATCTGTTCCATTCATTTATAGTCCATATTTCTATTCCTGGGTACTACTAAAGTACCTTTTAATAAAAGCAGCTCAAAATAATCCTTATTTATATTTATTTGATCCTTTTTGCAGCCCTTGCTCCGTCCTCTGAGTGAAACAAGTTGTTCAACTGTGTCGCCGCTCCATGTGAGCTATCTTATTCTAATTGGATATCCCTTGTAAACAAAAGGTTTGAACAACAGGTGGGCGGGACTTCTGTTGTCACAGTAAGAGAAGGAAAAACTGTGTGAAACTGAGCATTTGGCTCACAGGCGTTACTTATTAAACTTTTAATATCAGCAACACTGATAAACATGCCCCTTTAAACATGCCAAAAGTGTGTGTGTATGAAACATAAGCTTATGCTTGAGACAGTTTTTTCTATTCTTAACTCTGAATTCCTTTTAGGATGTTCTGTTTGCAAGAAGCTGCCAATCAGTTAAAAGTTGGCTTGAACAGGAGAGGAGATAAAAATGCTTTACTTTGCTTGAGAGAATCTGCACCAAAGCCCAGCATAAGATATACAAGGCTCATTTTGAGCCTGAGTGAATGATGCAAAACCACTTCAGTATAGTCCAAGAATAGAAATATGGAGCCAGAAACAGACCCCACTTAAATATCTCATCTCTCTTCAACACTGATTCCAGCTCATTTATTTAGATTTCAAGAGGTGTGTGAATGACTGAAACTAAAACACAGTTTATAGCATTCGTGTCTTAAATGGCCAATCTCAGTATAGTGCATTTTCTTTTTTAATGTTAGCAGTGGACTCGTGTCTTGATACCCATATTAAAAGAACCCCATTCCCCCTTAAATGCAGCGCTACCCCTTCCCCACACTAATTCAAGCCCCCATGCCCCCACCCAAAATAACTTTATACAAACTGATAAAACTTCACGAAAATTCACCATCAACACAAAGGTCACACAAAGTCCTGTGGTTACGTCCATCCTGTAAAAACTAAAAACAGCGGACATCAACATCCGCTCGGACCGCTCCCTCATGTGTCGGTTGATAGGGTCACATATATATAAGCACGCTCTCTACGTGCACCCAGATACAGTATATACATATACAAATGTAATCCCCAGGGGAGTAAAGACAGGCAGCACTTGCAGTCAGGTCAGGCTTATGTTTCTATTGCATTGCAGCTCATTGCATCCTTCTGTTGCCAAACAGTTAGACAGGTTGTTTAAGTGTTGTCAGGGGATACAATGGTATTTTTAGGACTAAAAGTAAAGGGGGAGTTTGAGGATTTAATGGCAGAACAGGTGGTGAGAATTCATTAGTGTGTACGCAGAAGTGCAGGTGGAGTGGAGGTCGGAGAGTCCATATCCGATCAATCGTGGATAACAATGGGGCCTCGCATTCTCAGGCTGGGGTGAGGGTGTGGAGGGGCGAGGACAAGCCCCTGCGGTGGACCCTGGGAGACCCTGCGCAGGGTGATTTGCTCACAAGGTTGCCGGCAAGCGTGCCTCAGCTGGGAGCGAGACAACATCCGTCGAGCCCGCCTAGATGGATGGAGACAACATGGGACAAGATGAGTGAAGAAAAAAAAACAGGGATGCAGAGATAAACAGCATTAATAAAACTAAAAGGATGTTCCTGAGGCGTTTGGTACTTGTTTTATGCTTCCTCTCTGCCATATTTCAGGGGCTTATATTATGTTTTTCATTCAACTCCAGGTCTGAAGCAAACTTCTAAGTGCCTCAGTTCTACAAAAGACTACCAGAGACTGGCTTCATAGTTGGTTAGTCTGGTTGCCATAAACTCATGTGTTAAAATGCACAACTTTGCAGCTGAAATTAACATGTTTACACCTGGGCAGTAGTTCAACTATGCTTATAGGATTTTGAAATTTTTTTAATGCAGTAATCTGAAAAAATGGCATACTGTGTGGTGCAGTTTGTGCTCAACATCAGACTGGCTATGTCCATACTATATATTCATCTTTTATTTTTACAACCTTTTCTAACAATCGACACTACTGACTTTGCAAATTCAGATTAATAATACAAAGATTTGGTAAATTTTATAGGTAAGACTTTATCGATCCCCTAGGAAATTCCCTAGCAAGCCAAGCTGCAATGTCAGCAGTTATAACCCATTAGACTACATTTTACAGAAATGGTATTATAAGTAAATTTACCTTTGGTACTTTAACTGTATTTCACTGCTTAAAAATGCAAATATCAGCAGCTAATCCAACTATTGCCTCGAGGGTCAGGGAAACAATAATCACTCAACATGAGTCGAAAATCCTTAAATAAATAAAACAAAACAACAACAAAAAATGTTTTTACTAATACTTTAGCACTGAATTGCTGTCATGTGACTGACTGATTGTACAGTAACAAGCAGATGAGTAGGTGTACTTAATAAAGTGGCTTCTGAATGTATTTCTTAGCCTGCAAATAATGCTTGACTGAGACGATTACTCATGTTGACTGCATCAACACATAGAGCCCAAATATACAAATTATGAAACTGACTTCATGAGACAGCTGATTTATCACCGTGGGCTTGCCATACTGCGCTACTGGTTGTTAATCATCTGGTTGTTTGGTTGGAAAAAAATGTAATCATCAGTCAACATCTGATTCTGGTTTTAGAATCAGTGTCTCTTAAATATGAGCAAGAAAATGGCTTCTGATTTCTCTGATCAGTGCAATTTAAGCAGAAAAGTGCAAACAGCCAGAGAACGGCGAGTTCAAGACACGAAGATGAAAAATCTCATAAAGAGAGAACGCTGTGAAGTTTAGGGTAGTTTGAATGATTTAATATGAGCACAGTTCAGCTGGAGGGCAATACATTGCGGATCCAGGCTGTTGAGAAGGTAATTAGATACAACTAGATTCTTCTCATCTCGAGAGATTTACTATAGGAGAGTGCAGCGCGTTCCGAGCACCAGAACAAATACACGTGTCTGTTATGAAGTAATAGAGGAGAACATTTTTGCAGGATTTTCTGGCTCGTTGAGAGTTTTGTAGGTAATTTCCAGACTGCAGTGGGCTTTGCGGCGTGACAGGAAAGCACTTTTTACAACCCACAGGCACTAAAGAATCCCAGATTCTTGGGACACACTCACAAGTCTTGGACAGAGCGCTAATTGAATCCAAATGGAGACAAATGCAAGGTGCATAACCACAATGTATAGGTGATTATTCATGGTTCCCTTAGAGCAGTCTGAGACTTAATGCACAGCAAAGCTCTTTGTGCAATCTCATTTTCTTCCCCTTTCCTATTGCTGTAAATGTTGTCTCGTATTGTTAATGCAAAACACACCGGCTGCCTCCAAATCCCCGCTGCACTGCACAACTATAATGTGCCGAACCACGGGGATCTCCTACTGAGCAGATTACAGTACATTATGTGCCAGTACATCCAAAAACACCAAATGTGTCTGAATGTGCATGTAAGAGTCTCCACTCAAATCTCTCAAGTACAGTATACCCTGACACTGAGCACCGCATGCGTGTGCTATGGCTCAAAGTTAGAGGACACGCAGTTATAACACGGAGGGAAAACAGAACGGATTTATCTCTGCTGGTTGTCTGTTCATCTGGTTGTTGGGAGGAAGAAAGCAAACATGTAAATCTATCCTCAAACATATCAGCCTGTCTCATTTATATTCTGCTTTGCTCTGCTTCTGTATCCTAATGTTCCCCATTTCTGACGCTTTGCTATAGACAATCATTCGATATATGATATTATAACACTGTTAATACTGAGGCATTGTTAAGCACTTTAAGCACCATTTCGCTGTTTTAGCTGTGAAGCTTGTGTATCCATTTTATTTGCAGTTTGATTGCTTAGTTCAGAAGTTCGGAGCCTCTCCAAATGCAAATCTATAAAATCTGAAGGATAATGTGACAAATTTGGGGAAGAAATGAGACGTGCTCATTTTCCAGCTCCATATTTAGCGCTTTGAGTGCTCCGGAAGAGTAGAAAAGCGCAATATAAGAATCAGTCCATTTGCCATTTGCCATTTATTTTTAATCGTGGATTCTACTATAGTAGCTTATCATGATTCATAGTTTAAAGTAAGCTCCTTAGTTTTAGCTTTTCTATCCTTAATCTAGTTTTCTTCTGACTGGCTGCAAAAGCTTTAATCACCAGCTGGGTGGAGCTTCCTTGCCTCGGATGACCAATCTAGGGATAACCAATTTGTCTAAGACATCATGAAGACCAAAGCCCTAGCCTTTGGTTCACAAGGATTACCTTTACATACACTTATTATTTAAAACATTAGCCGTGTTAATGTAGAGCTCATTTTAGTATAACTTGGTTGTTGAGTGTTTATCCAAGTTACATTCTATGTAAATCCTAGATATGGTTGTGTGTGAAAATCTCTGTGAAACTGAAGTTTTGGAAAAATCCAGATCAGCCGATCTGGCACAAGAGCCCGACCACATTCAAAGTCACTTGAATCCCATTTCTTCCTAATTCTCATGCTCGATTTGAACTTCAGAAAGTTGTGCTGCGAGTTACTGTCATGCGACTGGCTGATTAGAGATTTACAAGCGATTAAACAGGTGTATCTACAAAAGTATTTGGTAAGGATATATGAGAGAAAATAAGGAAAACATGTTAGGTCCAATTTATAGCAATTTCTCTTTGCAAACATCTGATTTTTGTGATATCTTGGGAGTATTCGATTTCAGGAATTAAACAAGCTGCCATTCATTTACTCACCAAAATGCAATGGGGGGTTTTCCAATTAAATAAGGGGGGAAAAGTCACTGGAGTGCTATTTTTTATCAGCAATGAAAGAAATGAGGAACAGTGGTGTAATAGTTTTGTATTTACTGGTTATTTATGGACTGCTGTCACCTCAAGGGAGGAAAACATTAAAAGGTAGTAAAAGTGGGCTCTTTATACCTGGTTTATACTTTGAGTGTAAAATGCAATTTACATGCGAACAAAATATTTTAACATACATGAAAGTCATGAAAGATTGCTAAAGATTATTATAGTTCCCAGAGGATGTTCTCGCTTACTTTCTTGTACTTTCTTTAAGTAGTCTTCAGGAATAGTTCTCCGGGCTACATGAAAGACATGCTTTGGATGTTGGCTGCCTTTTGTTCCATTTACAGTTGAGTTCATCCACCTCTGCCTCAATAATGTTGAGGTCCAGGCCCTGGGGGTGCCAGTCTTTGACTGATGGTGTTCCATTCTCTGTTTTTCTATCCAGGTATGTTTTATTGCACTGGCAGTGATTTTGGATTCATTGTCCTGCTGAAAAATTAAGTCATGCCAAGTAGATCCTTTCCAGATGGCATTGCACGGTGGATGAAAATTTAACGGTACTTTCTGCATCTACAATGCCATCAAGTTTGACAAGATGCCCAACACCACTGGCTGAAATGCAGCCCTAAACCATGACATAGCCTCCAGCATGTTTTACAAATAGCTGTAGACACTCCATGTTTTGCTTTTTTCCTGACCTCCTCTAGACAAAATGATGGCAATTCAAATAAAAAGTCTCTCTGTAAGACCTGCTGCCGCTGATTTTAAGTCCAGTTCTTGTGTGATTATTGTACAATATTTTAAAAAGTTTAAATTTTCCTGTCCATAGTTTCAAATTTTTTATTGCCTAACTAGTAGAATTGTTTTAATGACGCTCCACTGCGTCACCTAAAATGAAACACATTTTGTCATCTCTACTTTCATTTCTATTTATCTCTCTCCCATCTCCGAATTAGTGGGAGACATCTCCAACCCCTTGTCTATACTCTGTGTTTTCATCATACTCAGAGAAAAGGAGAAGCAAAGAAAGGGAGTTGATGAAACCTCTGATCATTTCTCATTAGCACCAACTTTTCAGGGCACATCTATTAATGCATTTTGTTCAGAAAGGCATTAATTGTCTCTACTAGGAGACAATTAAACAAAGGGTGCAGAATTCAGATCGATGCTGTCCCACTCACACGGCCATGTTGCCTTGGTGGTAACTGAGTGATTCATGCAAGTGCAGCCATGGTTAATGTGGTAATGATATTTCCACTCAGGGCACAACGGTGCCAGGCTCCATCTGCACCAGTTAGCCTCCTCTAATTTTAGCCCCAGCGGTCCGAGGGCGGCTGTGAGAGCCGAGCGCTATGGCTCATTTAGACACAGGCTTAATGGAGGAACATCTTTCTCTTGCACATGGGAACACATACGTACGTGTATGAGTCCATGCGGGAAAGTGCATGTGTACATTTAAAGAAAAAGTAAATGGATGTAAATTCAGTCACATAGAAAAAAGTATATTAATGGCTAAAGCAACGCAAAAAGAAACAGACCATGAAGGTGAATACACTTGAATGAAGAGGTTTTTTATTAAAAATGTATACGTGTATTTGTTTATAATGCAGAAAAAAAAACCAACAGCAACAAAATCAATGGCAGGCTGTTTTAGCTGAAAAGCTGGAGGATGATGAAACAGCATGTTTTGAACAGCTGTTTATGGCACAGTTAATCGCATTTATTAAATGTTTTATTAAATTACCTGAATGCACCATGAAATCTTACATTTCAGCTGGACTTTGATTAAATCTTCAGAAAGTATACCATCTTTCACCCGTGCCTTCAAAGACATGCTTGTGCTTATGAGAGGATTCATCATAAGTGGTATATGATAGTCACATTCACCCCTTGGGAACCTGAATGTCTGCACCACCTAACCCTCAGACCCACAGGGCTAATGTAGCTAAAAGGTAACTGAACTGAATCAGACAGCAATAAATAAATAACCAGAAATCTGACCAAGACAAATCCTTAAGCGCCTTGAGGCAACTATTGTTGTGACTTGGCTTTATATAAATAAAACTGAATTGAATTCACAGTGAAGCACAAGATTAATGTCTATATGGGAAAAAATGCATCCACATCCTTGACTGAATCCAAGTGTGGGACTAGTCTCAAAGGTTTGAACTGGACTTGTTGTTCTCTGCTTGTTTCTTTGCTCTCTTTACTGTTAGTTTAGATTTTCTGTGAGTCTTCAGTTCTGGATACATGTTAGCTCTAGTTTGTTTGTGTGTCTGCGTTTCACTGTTTCCAGTTAAAAACTATGTCATTTTTTAGTTATCAGGCTCTTATGTCTTCCATCTTTGCTCTTTAGCTCTACTTCCCTTCCTCATTGTCAGTGATTGTCCTCACCTTCACTTGTG